TAGTCCTTCTAGGAGTCCTTTCCTTTTTGCCATGTCTAAAGTGTACGAGTACTAACGTCGAACCCAGAAGAGAAGAAAAACGTACATAAGGTCGGAATAACTGCAGACGTCACAAACTTACTTCCAGCACAGTCTACAAACGCCTCCCCATTAGTATGTGGATATGGCTGTTTTGCAGTTAAGTGGTGTAGGACAGTGTAAAATATGCTCCAGCTGAACATATCACAATTTCATGTGATTCGCTCCGCTGGGAAAAAAGTTACGGCAAGTTAAAGTTGGCCGAATACTTTTGAGCGCTACTGTATCTAATACGTTGCACGTGTGGTATGCTTGCATTAGCAATTTGTATCTGGGTGTGTGATGTACCCTAATGCAGTTTCTGTAAAACCGCTCCTACGAAAAGCAACATTGCGATAAAAAGGCAAATAAACTAATGAAGTACTATCACTGACCGACTGAGAGCAATGGGTCTGACTAATTCTGGTTTTGAAGCTTCCGAGGCTCCCTCGACCTGAATTCGTCAAAGTATGCACTTCCACAAAAAGCTTGAAAATTACACCTCAACATACCAATGTTGACGGCTCCATTTTGAATGCATTTCTCAGAGCCGATGGGTCTTTCAATGGTTTGTTCTTTCGAGCAAGTTCTTTCTCTCTTCGTGACATATTGTCCGGTGTGAGGGGAAAAGGACTCGTCGCATTGCCCAAGAGATTTTCCTTAAATCAATGATAAACTTTTCGAGAAGAAAATATTACAAGGCGTCAAAAGAGGACGTAACTTACAGATTTTGTGATTTTGTCCATTGCTAGTGTTGCTACGAGATCGTTCACATTCTTCAATAAAAGAAATCGGAGAAGTATTATGTAAGACGAGTTAATCATGAAAATAGTGAGACTGAGCTACCTCAATCACTTGTGAAGTGTTTGGCTCCCGTCCCAGTGGTTCGAGCCCTGTTGCTGTCTGTTCAATTTCCTTCAAAATATCATAGTTCACCTTGTTGGAAAGTTTCTTTTCCTAAAAAAAAGCTTTGACAATCGAGGTAAATCGCTCATGGCATATTCCAGGAGTAGCAAACAGGCACAATCAGTACGGAAAAAATCCGAAAATCAACATAGCTATCCATTTAGATGCTTTCTGAATGGAAATTGAATGTAATGGAACATGCAAAACATGTTAGTATCGGGAGACAGATAACTTCAGCTTTACCATTGGGATCCCAGCTAGTTTTTTACCTACATGGATTATCTTTTCCATAGCTTCTATAGCAGTGCTGGATGCCAAACTCTGCCGAGGTGCACTCGTACGTCGTCTTTTTCTCTTTGATGGATTATCCTTTTCCTTTTCTTCCTCCGCTTCTCGTTCTTTTCTCCTGAAATAGTAAAGAAATCAGGTTACAACTTATGTCAATTCTTGAACCACATTTTCAATACACTAAGACTTATATTTTTCCGAATGGTTTAAAAAAAAGAATAGAAGAAGGAGAGATGAACCGACCTGCGTTCCATTTCCTTGAGATGCTCTCCATTCAGCCTCATCCAAAACCGTTCTTTCACTTCAGACTCTTTTGCCGTGAGAATGTAAGTATCAATTTCGTCATCATCGATGCCTTCAACTGTATTTTTTGCAAGACGTCCGAATTGAAAAATCGCACTCACCTGAGAGATCAAGGGATCCGTCAGGCCTATCCTGAGATGGAAGAGGTGTGGCTGAATCCGCTGAATCGTTCCGACCTGCTACTGAAGCTGGCTGCAGAGGCGTTATGCCAAGGGAATGTAGTGTTGGTGCAAATTTGCTGTAGTCAGGTGTTTTAGGCCTGAACAACGGAGATACATAGTGGAGGTTCAGTGAATACAAATTATGATGGAAAAAAAAACAAAAGCATTTTCAAAGCAAACAAATTTATACTGGACCAAACCAAACTGCTTGCTTACCTTTCATCTTCACCGTCCGCAACACGATAAACTGAATCCATGATTTCGTTTCGCACAAGGTTCCCTTCAGCAACTCCAACTTCGGGATCATCTAAATTGAACAACTCATAACTACTGTGAAAACCTCTTGTATATTGTAACACTTATTGCTCAATCCAACATACCTATATCGCCAGCTACAAGTTTAGCGTATCGAGTGTTCTTGAATTTCTCCCTCCGTTTCTTTTCGAGAGCACGCTCCAGCTCTTTCTCTATAGGAATCACCTACAAGCCCGATAGAATACCTCAGTTCAATTCAGTTTCCAATTTATGTATCTCCAAAAATGCAGAAACTAACCTCTCTCTCCATTTCTGCAGTCATTCTTGCCTCCTTTTCAAGCTGTTCCTCACGAGCCTTTCTACGGCTTTCTTGGAAAGCAGGAGGATCTTCTTCATGTTCCTAAAGAAGCATAGCATAAAGGAAAAAGCAATTCAACTATCCTAAGGAAAAAAACCTTATCTTCCCACTCTGATTATCAGTGTTAACCATTAATACCACTATTATCAAATACAGAACAAGAACCAACCAAATCAATGGTGGAGAACTCATCGATTGTCAAGGCGGACGATGGAGTTCGACTGAATTCGTCCAGTCGCTTCCTCACCACCGATTCGCTAATGTGCACCACCTTGACAACATCACCTATAGTTCGATTGAAGTTGTATGCCCTGCAAAATTCAAAAATATGTTTAAGGAAAGAACAACAGATGAAGTGCAAAAGCCAATATGATATCGATTGTCCCACACAAAGTTATTTACATGTTCATACTGTAGTTCATGTTACATGCTTATTCGTTTACAGCACCCTATTTATTGGCAAAGAGGATGATATTTCGTAATTTCGTTTATAGTCGCCATTCAGGAGCTAGAGGTTCCGAAATTGTCCGTTTTCAAATGAATATGAGAGTGTAACGATTCCATTGCAAGAGAGCGCAGACGATACCTTGCTGATGGCAACGTTGCCTGCTTTCTATTACATGAGCAAAAGAACTACTGGTTGTTAAAAGCGGACAGCTATAACTCGAAGAATTCGTGCCTTATTATACTGAACACAACTGATTAGGATAGCTCAAACCGTATCGTGAAACGTTGAAATTCTTGAGATAAAGCAGAGTAACGTCCAAACAAAACAAAATATTACCTAGCTGCTAGCAAAAGCGCAGCGCCGCATAATCCTGTTGGCCGACGACCCATAGACAACCAGTCTCGTTTCATCCGTTGAACCAGCCTAGTAGCTAGATTCACGACCTGCAAACAAGAAGCCACAAAGTAAAGGCTCCCTAGAAAACAACAGGCTATCAAAAATAATGGAGGGCGTAACAATAGGACAAAAGTACGATTAGCCACCCTCGCACTGATTTAAGAAACTCTTCCTGACCGGACGATTTCGTGAAAGGCTTCCTACGATATAAAGACCCATTTCAGGAATAGAAACATTCGCCGAAAGAATTTCAGGCATCAAAATTTCTGCTTAGTAAACAGGATAAAATTAAGGTAAAGTAGGCCTTGTAACTTTGTAAAGCTTCCTCAAGCTGATAAATATATTTCGTTTCAGTCAAAATATCACCAAGGAAATGTTGGTAAAATGATTAAAACTAAATGATAACTTGCGTCTTTCAATTTCTCTCCTAATTCCATGAGACATGCGAATCGCATTATGTAGAGGCAGGGATCCGTTGAAGGCAAATTGATCCGTAGGGACCGAGATAGAAAGGTGAGAGTACGGCCGAGATCAAACATGTTCACCTAAAATATAGCAATAGCGCAATATACAATAAAAAACAAAACATTACCTGTGTAACATCGCTAAAGTCGAGGAGTAAATGTGCCGTGTTTTCCAGACGGCAAGTCATATACAAACAGGCAGCAACTACATGAGATCTGCATAGAAAATATTCATAATTTGAAACCTGATGAATATTTAAAAAGAGGAGGTAGAGAGAAGGACCTGACACGTCCACGTGTGAGATTACGGCTGACTGACATCTTGAAAAAGTTGTACGCTGTATCAATACAATGTTGATTTATGCGAAGTTGACTAGCTATCTATAAAATATTAAGAAGTTTGAAACGAAAACAACTAAAAATTCGTTTAAGGGCCTTACTTCTTCTATAAGTTTCCTCCCGCGCGCAAAAGTGACTTCACGAGATTCTTGTGAGACCAATCCATTAGAGGCGGCTCGTGCCTGGGCTTGACCGCGCTCAAGAGATACAAATTGACCTAAATTTGTTATGCACCAAATAGTATCATAGGGAAGCAGAGATAAAACGATTTGAGAAATTCAACTTTCGTTATAAATCTGGTATTGGTGGCTTGATAGTGGGTCAATATGAGCTCAGAAGAGTTTTATGTGGGTAACGCTGTGTGGACGGTGGTTTAGTGGCAGGTGTCGCACCACTACACCACCGTCCACACATGCACGCCCGCGGACCGAATCCCGGGGCGATACTTGCCCAGGACAACCAAAGCTCTACACCCTACAGGGTTGTTAGCTGTTGCCGAACAGGTGTGGGAGGATAAGAGCGCTGATTTGTAAATCGGCTGCCCAATGAAAGCGATTGTATCAGTTTAGCATGCATTCAAATACCTCTGAATAGAAGACGAATGCAGGGGCGCACTCCAAAAGCGGGCCGATTGACGTCAAGACCTTATCTTTTTATAGTAGTGAAAAGAAAGCACCAACCGCAGCAGACGCTGTATGAGGAGAAATCCGCTATTATTAGTGGCAATTTCCATGCTGTGGTAGTGCCCTGTAGCATATCGACTGTATTCAGAATTGGTTTGTTTATAATACGGAGGCAGGGGCAGAGGTGGTATAGTGGCACGCGGCGCACTTCACACACGCATGGTCACGGTTTCAAATCCCGCATCGATGTCTGCCTAGGCCAACCAAGCCTTCCATCCCTTCTGGGTCCGTAAATTAGTACCAGGATCGTCTCGGAGGACAAAAGCACCGACTTGTGCATTGGCTGGCCACTGCAAGCCACTACGATTCCGAATGGAAGTCGAATACGTGGGCGCACCCCTCAGACGGGATTGATCAACGCCCCAAGACTTTATCCTTTTATCCTTCACAGTAGGAAGGCTGATAGATCAGGCGAGGCTTACAATAGAGAAAACAAAATCAATAAAATAAAGCTGCATCGTTTGAGGCATTGATCTCTTTCCATTGCTCACTTCCAGCTTTCCATAGTCCAGCTCTCACCGATGACCGCGTTTAAGAATTATCAATCAGAAAACAAATTTACACGTTTTGCAGGCTAAACTCGTACTATCGGGCGACTACACTTACAGTACCCAAGCGTTCTCTAGTTCATACTTATACGCATTTTTCGTCACACGTACCAAGACGATAGTAAAAAGACACCTCAACCATATGTCTTATTCCAAAGATACACCAGATATCTTGTATGAAACGTTACGAGAGGAAAAAGTTTGTGAAGGAGTAATACCACGATTATAAACTCGCCTAACTTATAAGAGTTCGTCAAGGTAACGTTTTTCCCATTTCGATTACCCACTCTTTCTATGCTTGAAATGATCGCACTCTTGATCGAATTGCAAGAATTTTGATATCGGACTGATAAATGTGAACTCAAGGGAATGCTCTACATTTAAAAAGGTAATTTGTGATGGGGAAATATTGAACATAGTTGTTAATTCTTCACTTCAATCTCTCACAAGTTGCCTAGGAATAAGAGGAAACACAGAATAGAACAAGGAAAACTTGTTTTCGGTTTTCCGGGAAAATTATACGCATCAACCTTTTACTTAACATTATGGTAAATAGAGTACAATCTACAAACCGACTAGAGTATGTCCTGTACCACCAGCTCTTTCTTGGAATTGATTTTCAGACACAACAATTGATTCCTCGAGAACGGTTCCGCAACTCATACAGGTAGCATCTCCTATAATATGAATTGGAATTGCTCACCACGGAGATCACTATCATTGCATTTCCGTTAAAATTAACCCTACTTATCTAGCTGTTCCACAAAAAACTACAAACGATTTCAAAATATCGGCTTATTCACCTCGTCCTGCATCCTCGTCGATATCGGAGCATCCACAATGCGGACATGTCCGAGCCATTCTACGCCAGAATCAATACTATTTTGTCTGCTATACAAGGAAAGGTGGTTCTGGAATTGACATTTGCACAGTAGCAAACAAATAACTAATGACTAATGAATATGCATGTTGTTTTTATTAATTGAAGGCTATTTCAACGATCTTTATCGATTGCCCGTTGTATATAGCGCTGATGCTTTCGCACTATTAAAGCTAACCTCACAATTCTCCCGGTCACATACTAACACATCAATGTTAACATGTACAGAAATACGTAAGGTAATGGGAATGGAGGCATTTGGCAACGCATATGCAAGTTTTCAACCGAAAAGTAGTAGAAATTTTCAGCGCCAACTGGCAATGAAGATTCACATTCTTGCTCAGGACCATGTTTTACTCCATTACAGAAAGCCTCAGCAGTTTTCTTAGGTAATTGAAACCGCAGTAATGAACTGATGTTGGTTCTGACTCATGCCTCGAACTACAAAGCTTTGACACCAACAAAACATAACCAAAAGTGGTCAAAAGTGCTGCTTTTTTGGACTTTTTTACATCTCATTGGAAAATTGTTGGTGGCATGACTTGTATATGGGAAATTGGAGATACGCCTTCATACTTTTTCGGAATACACACGGCTAAAGCTTCATAAACAGATCTTTATTTTCAGAATAAACAAAGCCCTGAACAAAGCCTTTTCACGAATTGACTGGACCACCATTATGAGGCCACTGAAAGAACTTTGGGACCCTAACTTCCCAGTAATATGGAACACCACCCCACGAAAACCATTATGTTTGTAAAACGGAAATGAAACCACGAACCTTCGACTACAGGCGCATTGCCGACAACAGTTCGCTCGGCGCCCCTTAATTTCGATGACGTCAAGATGATTGTCCTTTGTGCATTCGCGGGAAAATCACGGGACGTAGGCTTCTACAGTACGTAAAATAGACCAGCTGAACTCGGCCATCGTGATGCTTCAATTTGCCGTACATAGGAGTTGTTTTCGTGAAAGACAAGGTTGAGGGGGAGCGTTTAGAGAGGGTAATGAGATGAATGAAGATGGCGTAAAATATCGTTGGAGCTGTATAACGTCGTAAAGCGGGTAATAAGACAGAATTTACCGAAAAGTTGCGATGCTGGCGAAAAGACCACTAAATCGCGTGATATAAAGTAAGGAGTACAGTGGATGTACAAAAAAGTCACTATCCCATTACTGCATTAAGTTTGAGTGGAGTCAAGATCAAAGCGGTAAGATGGAGTTCAAATATAGGGACATATCCCAAATCAAAAGCTTAAAAGTTTGGAGTCTTTGGAGCTAACCAATGCCTTCTGGGATGCACCCTCATTCGACTTCTGTTCAGAATCGTAGTGGTTTGGAAGCTTATACAATGAATTGCGGTAGCCAGCCTATGTATAAGTCAGTTCTTTTACCCTCTCAGACAAGCCTAATACCAATTAACTGGCCCGACCCCGGAGTGATGGAAGGCTTCGTTGGCCTAGCATCGGTCCGAGTGTAAGCCGCGCCGCGCAAGCACGTCAATCAGATGTTTTCAGATGAATCACCAAAGAATTTCAGAGAGGGGGAAGCAAGATGACTTCAACGAGTCGACGAGGAGCCGTGCTAGCACACGGCAACGACGTTTTCATCTCCATGACGGGTGTGAAGTCCTGCCCTAAGCTAACCTCTTTCCGTTGCATCTCTCTCCCTCTTTCTGGGTGCATTCAGTCTCCACCGACAAGCATTGTTTTCACCAACATTCCGACCGACCGACTAACCGACAGTGATGCTGGCCACGCGTTCACAACGCTAGACACCGACCGATCCGTTCACGATTCTCTGAACCCAGTCTGTCCCGCACCGTCAACACGTGGCGAGGAACCCCGTCGATCGGTCGGACGGTCGGTGGAAACAATGCTGTCGGTGGAGTCTAAATGCACCCTCTGTGTGCGTATATGTAGCCATTTTGTGTGCTATAGTTAGGATTTTTTGATCTCTTTGAGATCATTGTTCTGTTGTTGAAGTTTCCTCCAAACTCTGTACCGCCACCTTTGTTCGCTCGTGTTGCTGCCTTTTTGGAAACCAAGTTTTTCAAGGGTTTGCTAGTTTGGACAAAAAAGTTGGTGGACCAAGAGATATCGTAGATGTTAGGAGTTATTGTCCAAGAAAAGCCATTTTTTGACATCAAAGACAACACCGGCATTTATAAGCTATCTCTCATACACTTTGAAATTCTTGCTTTAAAACTGTCGTCCAATTCACTCAGCAATTCAACATCTTAGCTTTGGTAGACGTTAGACGAGCTCCTCACTTCAATACAGAGCTATTTCGTCTCAACAAGGGCTCCTTATTTCTACAATATGTCCTGGCATACTCAAATCATATGTGTCCCGAGTCGGTTAACCGTAGAAACACCCTTAATCTTGCACGTAATGAAGAAGATGGGTACTGCTACGTTTGAATCCTTTTATTTCGACAATCGACGAATTTAGGCAATTCAAGCTGCTCTTCCGTCGGGTCAGTCTGCTGATACTTTTTACCATCTTGACACTTAAGCTGTAGGGTAGGTCAGGTATTATGCTGAATGCCATTATTTTTCCGATTAGCTAAATAAAGACCGCTTTTCAGGCAGGTGTTGTTAAACAGCGTGAACATTCTTTTACAGTTCTAAAGGGTTGAGTGGTGTACGGAATATGGAAAGCCAGTGAGTCGATTTCATTTTACCCTTCATTTGGCAGTCATTCGACGGAGTTATCTGTTCTAGAAGTGTTCATTATTTCGTTTATAAACTGATTTCTTTTTTCAGACAGTCGATAAAGTGTCCTCTCTGCGATGCGAGCAGTCCGTCCAAGTATCACTTAGCTGAGCACATTTGCAGGCATCTATCTTATCGGTGAGTTCTGAAGTTTGGCACAGTTCATTGAAGAGAAGAGTGTGATGATGTAACGAAAATTAAAGGCGCAGTTCACAATAAACATGATCTCGAAATCCTTCCTTGAAGAGAAGAAAGGATCTGTGACCCCTAAGAATTGCACAAGCTATCTGTCGGTGTCGGAGAAAACGGCATAATGAACAGGGCCCCAAAAGCCGCGTAGACGACGTACAGACCCTGGCGGACGAGTACTCACGGCGTTGTTGTGGTTGTAGAGGTTGCATCATCCGCACTGGGACGCACACGATGCGTGCAGGCACCTTACTGTAGCCAGCTGTGGGGGAGGTGCGTTGTGATTCACGCGCGGCAATAATGAGTTTGTTTCGCGTGTAGGGCGAACCGGCAGCACGCTGGTGTGGGCGAGATGCGCCATAACATTAGGCCTAGGAACTTATAAAAGGCAAGTAAAAAAAGGGTGAAGTCAACCGTACGCGTTTGCAGAATGTTTGCGTTTATTAGGATCGTAACACTGCTGGAGTCATTTTTATTTCAAACTTTTCGAAGTAAGTTGTTGAACTACTGAGTAATTCCAATATCGAAGAGATTTTATTGCCAAAGGCAAAGGGAGTTCCTAAAGAGTCCGTTTGAAAGCCATGGACTAGTGCCATTGCAGCACTAGCTTGTTCCATCTCAACTGAGGTGTACCGCAACGACCGCATCGCAATCGCGATGTAATCCGCCGCGCAGCACACCGCGTGCGGCGTGTGTGTGGTGGCGTTTTTCGAGCGCTTTCAGAGTTCAACTATGTGAAGAAGCCGCAACCTTGCCGACGAAGTTGTTCAACGCTGGGAAAACACCATGCTGGAGCGCAGAGGCCGTCAAAGCGGCGCGAGCGTCGTCAACAAACTTCTGCCGAGCGATCAACATTGTCAACATACGGTGTCCAACGCTGTCAACGTGTGTCTGGCAAGGCCGTGTTCTCAACGCACGTTGAACTCTGGAAGCGCCAATCCGCACGTTATCCTTGGTGTGGTGTGGGTACCTCTTCCCGGAAAACGCGTCGCGCTCGCCGCACCTAATCATCAAGCGAACTCGCGCGCTACGAAGGGAAAGGCTTAAATTCCCAATGCAGGAATATGGTAACCACCACGTAACCACTGTCGCTTGCCGTGGGCATTCGAGAAGTACCGCCACTTTTCTTGAAGCCTTGTATTCCTTTTAATACCGAATTTCGCGTTACCTTCGCCACTTTTGCACTGTTCTGGACTGCTACATCCTTTATTCGCTTTTTTCTCGAAACTAGATGACCTAAAATTATCATAACCTGTGCCTTTAAGCTCAATAGTGAGGGCTACCTGGTTCCGTTGTTATTTTATTTATTGCCGGGCCGTTATCATTATCACAGTAGACCACATCGATAATGCTCTGAGTTTTTAAGCTTCTAGTCCGAAGGTCATCGCTTTCCATGTCTGAGATTTTCAGGAAATATAAATGCAAAACTTGTGCGGAATTCTTTTACACCGAAGAAGAGAGAGACGCTCACTGCATCGAGAGGGACCATATCCATACCTCCGAGGTTTATTCATTCTTGCATCAGTCTTTTTTCTCTTATTGCTCAATTCTGGCAGGTGCGGATCTCACAATACTGTGAGCATTACGTCAATTTGCTTCTAAAGGATGCCGAATATGTGGCTATTCATGGATTTGAAGCAGTTCTTGTGCAACGTACTAAAGCGAGTTTGGCATGGTAAGCCTTATCTCATTTCCCTACTCTTCAGTTGTTTTTACCGTTGCAACATCTCTTCTATTAATAAATTATTGTTTATTGCCCGTGCCCGTCTAATTGTTGCTCGTAACTATTATCAGTTTGCGCACCGTTTGGCTGCTTTCAGACTTCAGACTGACCGACCGACGACGCTCGCTGGCTACGAGGGAGCTGTAACCGAATTGGAGGGCTTCTGCGTTGGGCGTTGGTGTTATCGCCTTTCCACGCGTCTGGGCGAACCTTTCCGATCACTCCCAAATCGCGATGGAATCGAGAGTCTGCGTGTTGCGGGCACTGCTGGGTCTGCGTGTTGCCGGTACTGCTGTGAGGATGTTGTAGCACCCATTGCCCAGGCTCCTTGCCACTGCGAGCCCACTACCTCTGTCCTGGTCGTGTGTGCGGAATGCGAAATATACGTATCCTACTTTATATAACGCGCTAAGTGTGTGTATGTGTGTGTACGTAGGTATGTGTGTTTGTGTCCGACTGGAAATACATAACTCCTATCTCCAAGGACTAGAAAGTTCAAATTTGCTAGGATTACAGGGAACAGAAGGAAAAACTTATGGTGTGGAAGGACCGAACTCCGCACACAGGAGGCGAGGTTTGGAGGAGAATTGTCAGTTTGACCTTAAGGCGTTCAAACTTGGTAGGATTACAGGAAACAGGATGGGAACACCTACAGTGGGTGACAGGACCGGGCTCGTACAGGGGGCGGCTTTTTCGCAGAAATTGTCAGTTTCACCTTAGGTCCTTCAAAATTGGAAGGAGTACAGATGGCTGTATGGGAAACTTAGGTGGGTATCAAGTCCGGACTCTTCCCACAAGGGGCGGAGTTTTCGCGGAAATTGTAGGTTTGACTTTAGGACCTTTAAAATTGGAAGGAGTATAGATGGCTGGATGGGAAACTTATCGTGGGTGGCAGGGCCGGACCTCGCCCACAGGGCCCGGGTTTGTGCGAAAAAATGTTTGAGCGGGAAATCCCAACTCCTGTTTCCGTGGACCTAGAGCGTTCAAGCTCGTAGAAGTACAGGCGGCAGGATAGGAACACTCATAGTGGGTGGCAGGTTCGGAATCCGCCTTTAGGGACCGGGGTTTTCGCGGATGTTGTCAATTTCACCTCAGGACTTTCGGAATAGGAGTACAGATTGCCAGATGTTAAGCTTATGGTGGGTAGCAAGGATGGACCTCGCCCACAGGGGGCGGGGTACCCCATTGGATTAGAGGAGGCGAGATGGGAACACTGACGATGGCAGATGCCCTAGAAAACAAGTCTTTGACTCTCTGATATGTTCCATTCATTAAGAATGGTTAGCGCAGTGATAGGGAGTACTAATTTCTAAGGAGATAAAAATTCTGAGTGTTTCTCTTCGCCTCGAAATCATTCTTGGCAAAACTTATCCGACCGCTGATAATCTTGGGTTCTCGTTTTATGGCATATCTGTGGAGAAAGAAAGTTTCATTGATGAAGACATTGATAGTGATGTGACTCGACAACATTTGTGAGTGCCTGCGATCCCTTCCGTAGACGAGGTCGATGGATGACAACGACAATGCGAAGGTAATTACATGTGAAGAGGAGAACCGACCGCGCGATACTTTGACATGGTGAAGAATGGTGAGGTGTAGTGTGCACACTACACACGGCGCCCAAAGCCACGTGGCAATCGATGCGAACGGTACGCAGCGTGATTGGTGGAAACTGTAGTGGGCGTTGAATTATACACATGTGGTGTGGTAGTAGCCCTTACGTAGATGGAAGTCGTTAGATTCACGTCAGGGACAACAGATGAATGCAATCTGTCCAGTATTGCCACCACGTGGCAGTCGGTCGGTTGGTCGTTGAACTCTGAGAGCAGCCTTTCTCTTGAGGATCAGGTAACGGTTGAAAAGTATTCCCAGTAGAATTAAGGCTTCTCGAAGCGCTGGCTTTGAGTGTAATAGATGAGATTCCAAGATTGGGAGTACCTTTAATCTAAAATTGTTTAGCCATCTTACTCTACACCTAAATTTCGTTTGTCAAGACCTCCAAGATACCATTTGCGTGTTGGTGCAGACTGCTGCATTTACTGTTAGCATTCGTTTTTACTTTTCAGGACGAGTGTGCCGCACAACGTAGTACGTTTAGAACAGCCAGTTTTGGAGCAGTCATTTACACTTTAGCGTTAGACTCAGTTCTGCGGAAAGCTTGCGTACAATGTTGCTGCTGCAGGATAAACGTCTAGGAGTGCAACCTTCAATAAGTCTGCTGGAAGGAAAGACAATCGGATGAATATCATCTCGTGACATCGCGATGCACAAATGGTTCAAGGTCCTCGAGCTCATTTCACGCATTCCCTCGATTAGGAACGTGTCGCCCATTCTACAACTGTGTGATCTTATTGTTAGTCGACTCGTTGAATGATGGGGTGTCAATGTAGACTGAACTGTCTTTACAGAAATAAGCGATTTTGTCATTTCACCTCCTTTGAAAGTTATGTACCTTTGCTTTAATGATATGGCCATGAAAGGACTACCTGAAAGCATAAACAACATCGAACCTTCTACACAAACTTCTTATGATGAATAATCAAAATCCAGGTTTTGTTTGTGTTTTCCCCAGTAGCAGACATGCAGTAGTGTCTGAAAGTGATGCGAACATTTTATAAAAAGCTCCCTTTTCAGTCGCTTGGGAAACTCACCGAAAGCCACAGTAAGCACCGAATGTAACAAAGATGCTGCTCCTGTCCCTGATCAACCTATCCCAAGGTTTGCACCCTTCAAAGCAAGAATGACGTCAACCGAGCATTCCCATTCGTGCCGTTTTTCCGCATCAGCTCTAGCAGGCATACTCCGAAAAACAGCTTTCCCGGTAATAATGCACATATTTTTCAGGGCTTCAGATGGAACTGTTATAAACGAGAACCAGCAAATAAGTACTGAAAATAGTGGTGATTCTTTTCTCTCTCAGTTTCATCTATTCATCATTTTACGTGATTTATGTCTGTTTGGTAATAAACCCAACCCAGCTCCAGTTCCTTTTCACACCATCTATTCAAATATTGTTCTATGTATTTTGAATTGCCATTTTGCTCATCTCAGGAGGCCCAGAAGCTCAGGTCGACTCACTTCTGAAGACTAACTTTGTATCGGTTTCCTAGCTTTCGTCGGGGCAAAAGTATTGTAGTAGTTTTAAAAAAGAAGCCTCAAAGAATCCTCTCTGCATAAGATCAAACGTTTTTATCACGTTTCAGATTGCAAGTCAAACGCAGCATCGGAGAACCTGACCGATCTCTTACTGAAGCAGCCGAAGGTCTTGTCCGTCACCTAAAATCCAAAAATCTAAAGCAGCCCTTCAAGTTGAATTTTTTCAAGGGCCTAACTACAGTTTCTAGAATATTCTTAGGCCACCGTTATGTCTCCATTATGACTGGTTCAGGATTATTTTCCTTGGAACCGGTTGCCCAGGGAGCTGCAAATGGAAGTTCTGCGTCATCTTACTCGATTCGATCTGGATAAATGTCGTGTGCTGAATCAGGAGACATCCCAACTTATTCGGCACAATACAAAATCGATGAAAAGGAGAATCATCGAATACTTGCAGATTCGAATTGTTGAGAGTGTCAGTCCAATACTTAGCATATCAGCTAGTTTTTTTTTCTTGAGCTCTAGGGAATCTGACATTGTTGTTAGCTAAATGTTCAGAAAGTAGTTATAATTACAGGAGGCAGACTTTCGGCTTAGACTGTTTGTGAGATGTTCCGAAGTGGGGATACCTCATGTAAGTAAAAACACCTAGACGGCTGAATATCTGCTGAGTATAATTTTTTATTTGGTTTTATGCAGGACAGAGATTTGAGCGTGCTCAATCGAAGACAACAGCGAGCACCTTACACTTTTGAGCATGCCCTACAACATCTTTGCGNATCGTTTTCTCCATGGGGTGGCAGTGTTGTTCCGAAGCTCCTCAAAAATGCTACAATTCAACACTTGGAGATAGGAAATGTGAGTGGTAGATGATTTTCCGTTGCGTTACAAATAGTGGAGAGAGAAAGACTCTACCGGAGGCTACTGATCATCATCCACCACCACAAAGGCAACGGTTTTTTCTGTCCCTGTGATCCCTAAGGATTTCTATGCTTCTTTGTTACAGGGGCGTCTGGCAGACAATATTTTGTGGCCGATATCTTCGTGTTTGCTGAATGTGGACTGTCGAGTGCAGAAGTTGTCAATATTAAAAACATCAGTTGCTGACGTTACTTCTTCCGTTTTTCTTGAATTCCTTCGGAACGCCGCTCCAACACACATACATATCGAAGGAATCAGCGATTGTTCTTACGACAATTTCAGCCCCGAGGTTCTCAAATTTATTGTTACAAGACCTAAATTCGAATTATTTTCTGTTCGTCCCCAACCCTTCCTAATCGACGATGACATTCTCGCCAAGATCACTGCTTCCGAATTCACCATCGATAGTGAAACCAAGATAACTGCCGACGGTATCAAATCTTTTATTGGGGTCAGTTTTGCACATCTTCTTTATGAACAATAGTCCAAATTCAACTTACTGTGAATTTCAGGGCTTGGCAAGTGGGAAACATGAGTTGGTTAACGGGGGAATAAGAACTCGTGTTTTCTCTTCATCATTACCGTTTTCCACGCCTTCAAACGTTATGGCGAAGCTGCGCACAAGCAATATCAATATGTACCAGGTTGCCTCATACTACATCGATATATCCGCAACAACAGAAAGACCAGTGGAGACCAAAACTTGACGGAGTTCCTAGCGAAATTGCTGCACAACTCTAATTTTGGGAAGCTTTCGATAACAATCCACTTCTGTTTTGAAGTACGATCTAATCCTAGAACATTTGAAGATTCTCTTTACGTATTGTATGGCCTTAAGTTCCTAGTTACCCATGCAGAGATGTCAGTCCCTTTTTTATTAAGCTTCTTTATAACATCATCATTGTACTTGATATTCTGAGATGTTGTTTGGCTAGTCACTATGTTTCAGTGTTTCCTTCACTTCTGGCTGAAATGTTATATGAAGCATCCTATTCTCATGAAATTCTGTAATAATAAAGAAGTGTCGAAGCCATGTGAGGAAAAGGGTAGCTGATACTTTTCTCAGGGTTTCTAATTTAGCTTAAAATGGTGGTGTGGAGGTGGAGGGCGCGGGCGGCATAGTGGGAGGTGGCGCATTATAGCAAGCTCACGGTCCGCGGACACAACCCCGTCGGTATACACCCTCATACACCCAGCCCAACCAAGCGTTTCATCAATCTGGGCTCGGTTAGTTTCGAACCACACTTGCCTCGGAGGGTGAAATTTCTGTTTTGTACATTGAATCGTTATCGCAAGGCCACATACCCATTCATACGACTATGGATTTTGAATGTAAGTCGAATGCGGTGGCGCATCTCAAAAACGGACTAAAAGTGTGCCCATATCATCTGGCATCCACATTTAGTAACCGATCGAAGAATTCGAGGTCATCCTTGTCCTCCATTTTGAATAGTTAACAGTTTCCTATGTTTGAAATCGAGGACCCTCAAGTGATTGTGATATCATGGTGTCAGTCACCAACATTTATGGAAGCTCAGAAGACGGTCACATTGAGGGAAACTCAGAACGGGTTCCGGTTCCTACAGGAAACCATCTGTGAGTCCTGGTTCGAACTAGAAGACACTGCGCAACACAGGTGCAATCTACACATCAATCTGCTCCTTGTTCTTGCCCAAGTTACTGTTCCCTTGCATCGGCTTTGCATTTGTGACGAGTTTATGGTTTGTGTATTCAAATAAGGTTATGCAGAGGTATGACATGTACCATCGTAAGGTCACTCTAACAACGGTATTATCTTAAAGAATCTCGTGCCTGTGAGTTTTGAACGTACCTGGTTTCCTAACTGTTACTGTTACATTTGGTCTGAATCCTACTCATTATAGCATCCATTGAAATCGGTAGAATACTCGAATAGATAAAGGACGATCAATCTGTTTGAATGAAACTCTATTGGGTTCGTGATTCGTATAGGAAATTCGATAGTGTCAGAAGATAAGCATAATCGGAAAGTAAAGTCGCCAAAGATAAATGGGAGCAGTCGATGAGAAAAGAACGGTGACATATGATGCCAAAAGGCAACGAACTACATAAGGTGTCTCGTGCAAAAAAAATACTCAAAAAATGGTTTTGAATTAATCCACACGGTGTCAAGTCTAGAGAAGCTCGTGACTGTCTTCAAGATACCTCACTGGAGGATTTTCCCTATTGAAAACCAGAATTTCAACGAGATGTCCATTTTGTCGAACAAGTTTTGCCTCTCGATTTTTCTCATTTGCCCATTTTTTTAATCTTGCCTGAAATTCTTTAAACTTCAAGTAGGCTTTGCTCAAAACAGCTGAGGCAGGAAAGCGATTTTGTCTGAGGTTCTCGCGCCTCTGGAGTATAAACCCCTAAATTACAGCGATTTAAATCCTCTCTCACATTCACCGCTTTGAATGGCCCACCATTCCTTATCAAGACAACTCATTCCGGACCCTATGGCTTCCTCTGCACTCACCAATGGCACTTCATTCATTTACCTTCTGTCATTACAAAGATCAACAAGCGTGTCGCTTGGAATATGAAAACGCCCTCGATTACGAGCTCGATAGTTCTTGCTTACATTTCGAAATTAGGTCGGTGAATCGTGCAAGGACCTTTATTCTAGCGCGCAATGAAGAAGATGGGTCCTGTTACGATTGGCCCATCGTATTTCGGCATTCGACGAGGGTAGGAAGCACAATCTGCTCCGTCGAGTTAGTCTGCCTGCGCCTCTTTGTTTCGGACATTAATTTGCACGGAACATTGCCTACTCAACGTTTTTACTATCTACTGGCACCTACTGAGTCCTTCTTTTATCGTGAAGATCAGGTCTGAAGAATGTCATTTTGCTTCCATCAAGAAAAGTTGGGAAGAACTTTCAGGCAGATATTGCTAGACTTTGTGAACAATCTCCTACAGTTCCAGAGGATTGAGTGTGGTGAAATTCGAGTAGAGCATGAACGATGGAAAGCAGGTGAGCTGGTTTCATTTTCCCCTCCTTCGGCAGTCAACCGTCACAATTGACATATTATTCTCTATTCTTCTATTATTCTTCTTCACAATTTGTCAATAATTACAATTGTTGTTACGCCATGTTTCTCACCTAGATAATAAAGGAAGATTCTTTTGTTTCAGCAGCGATTATTATTTCCTTTGCAAACTGATTTGTTTGATGCCATCCGCCAGTCCGCTTATCACTTACCTAGGTACATTTGCAAGCATCTCTCATATCGGTGTATTATGAATTTCAAAGTGTAACTAAAGAGAGGGTCATCTTCAAATTCGATGCTGAATGGGGAAATGAAAGGCACAGTTTACGTAAAAATGTTTCCTGAGATTTCTCTTTGGAGTGAACCCGTGACCCCTTCTCCTCTCCAGGACGGCACGAGAGACGCTGCGAGGTTTAAAAAGGCCTAGATAGAGCGTATTAAGGGCCCAAAGCAAAGGGCCCCAGAGTAGGCTGAGTCGGCGCACACCAAAAGAAGGACGAGTTTTCTCGGCAATGCACAGGCTGTAGGGGGTGTATGTCGTTTGGCGCGATGGGCGGGGTCGCGCCGCCCATTTGANGCGGCGCGACTCCGCCTATAGCACCGTTCAACTCGTTCAGATCGCGTAATCTTCCGCTTTCCTCTCCTCTATAGATGATAGAAGCCCAATCCATAATGGCGGTCCTCAAATGGGCGGCGCGACTCCGCCCATCGCGCCAAACGACCGGCTCCCGCTGAAGGTTTTGACCATTCTCATCAGGGCGCACGCGTTGCAGTGGCAGCATACTGTAGCCAGCTGTCCGCAACGGCACACGCATTTGGGAATCTCGTCCAAATACCTCTCCCATGCAGTGTTTGCCGTCACGTCCTTGTCCACCCCTGATTTAACTACTTGGTGGAAGCTTTATGTTGCTCTAAGCACGCCTATTTAGTTATCGGTATTTCTATCAATTTGTTTTGACCGTCTCGCTTAAGGACGAATTAACGGTCGGAAAGTATGCCCTGGAGAATGAAGCTCAGCAGGATGCGGGTGTGATAGAAGAGATTCCGAAAATGGAAACGCTTGTAACAACTGTAGTTGAATTAAAAATCCTGCTCTGCATTCAATTTCCCGAAAGATCAAAGCCGCCTTTGGTACAGGCTGATGGAACTGCTGTGGTTCCCAAACGTTCCAACCACTGCTTTACTGCAGTAGAAAGCAATCGCTGGCCTGTTTCTGTAAACTGAGTGTGCCGCACAACTTGGTACATTCACAGCGGTCATTTTTTAAGTACTCATTCGCCCTTCAGCCTTGAATTTGGTGTTGACAAAAGTTTGCACACAATGTCACGATTGCAGGATAAGTAGTATTTCGGCATGCAATCCTCTGTCAGTCTATGGGAGGTAAGAGATGAACGAATAAATAATACTGTGAAAAAGCGTCCCGGATCGATACCTGCCTAGGCCAACCAAGCCTTACCAGACTCGTCTGGGAGGATAAAAGCACTGTCTTGTACATCGGCTGGCCACCGCAAGTCACTGTATAAGCCATGTACGTACTCATTACGCCACTACTATTCTGAATTGAAGTCAAGTGCGAGGGCGTATTCCTCAAACGGGACTGATTAACACCAAAAACTATCCTTTTATGAAAAAGCGTTCATCATTGCAATTCATGCATAGTTTAGATTCTTCGAACATACTCTATCCCATTTCTTCACAAGTAATTTATGAATGTTTCGCGCAATCTGCGAATAGATTATCTTAATCCAATCGTTCAATGAGGATGTATAGATGTCTGATTTTCCGCAACCGCAACTAAACTTCTAACAGTTCTACTGGGAATTTCATCAAAATCCATCTAATCAATAAGCGATTCTGTCATTTTATTTCTTCCAAAACGTTCTGGACCTTTCGTTTTCGTGGTATGGCCTCGAAAGGGTTGTCTGGAAGCATGAACGACACCAAACCTTCTATTCGAACCTCTCACTAAGGAGGAGCAGAAACCATGTCTTTGCTGTTTTGCCTAGTTGCAGACATGCAGAAGTATACGAAAGTTATGCAAATATTTTGTAAGAAGTCCCTTCTCAGATTTTTGTGTCGCTCACCGAAGGGTACAGATAGTATCGAACGTGATAGGGATGCTCCTCTTGTCCCTGGCCTTATTCCAATGTTTGCAACTTACTAAAACTTGAATTCTTATGATCTGGTGAACCTACGATTAAGCATGAATGAAGTTCACCTAGCTCGGTATTTCCCATTCGTGCCGCTTTTTCCGCATCAGCATTAACAAGCGTGCTGACTGACTCCAAAGGAAAAAAAAACAATTTCCCCTATATTAATGAACATACTTTCCAGATCTTCAGATGTAACTGCTTTGGAGAAGAACCAGCAGATTACTACTGAGAGTAATGGTAAATTTTCCTTTCTCATTTTCATATATTCATTATTTTACATGACTCGCGTCAGTCTCATCATAGGCGTAGCCGTCATGTTCCTTTTTTTTACACCATCTAGTTGAGATATGGTTCCTTGTATTTTAAATTGTCATGTTGCTGGCAGAAGACGGGGAAACTCAGGTCCACGACTCGGGTCTTCTGGAAGCCAGCTCTGTGTCGATTACCTAATTTTTCTAAAAAGGGTTTTTTAGTGGTTTCAAAGAAACGCTGTCTCCTCTAACTGTAACATTAAGCGTTTACTGTCTTTGGGGGATTACTCTTCGAAATCAAGTCACGTTTCAGATTGCTGGTCAAACGTAACATCCAAGGAATTAACCGATCTCTCACTGAACCAGCCGAAGGTGTTTTCCGTTTATTAATATCCAAAAACCAAGATCAGCCCTTCGAGTTGCACACTTTTCAAGGGCTCAGTTACGGTCTCTGAAATACTCTTAGGCCATCAACATGACTGATTGAGGATCATTTTCCTTGGAATCGGCTGCCCAAGGAGCTGCAGGTGAACGTTCTCCGATATCTTACTCGATCCGATCTTGATAAATGTCGCGAGCTGAATCGAGAGATGTTCGAACTTATTCGGCGCAACGAACGATTTATGCAGCAAAGAAGAATCATCGAATACCTGCAAATTCGAATTCTTAATAGTGTCAGTCCAAATTTCTTAGCATATAACCTCACTTTCTTTTCGAACTGTAGTAATTGTGAAGCATTTTTTTGGTCGAATGATTAGAAAGTAATTAGAATTACAGAGGACAAGTTTCCAGCTTCGAGTGTTTGTGAGATGTTCCGAAGCAGGGATACCTTGTGTAAGTTTTACTGCGTGTCTCGATTATTAGGTCATTTTGATGAGTTTATTTAACGATATTTTATTATGTTATAAAACCTATAAAAACATCTCTGATCACCTAAAATCTGCTGAAATTTCTTTTTTGTCAATTCAGTAATTTTGGGATCTGGGCATGCTCAGTTGGAGGCAGCAGCGAAGTTACACGTTGAGGCATGCCCTACAACATTTTCAGGAATCGTTTTATCCATGGGGTTGCAATCGTCTTCGGAAAATCCTCAAAAACGCTACAATTCGAGATCTGATGATAAAAAATGTGAGTGGTGGACGATGACTTTTTTGTTCACAATAGTGGAGACAGAAATGTATTGCTTATTATCTTGCACCACTGCCAGTGTTAATAACTGAGTAATTAAAAAGGTTGAGAGGCTGTGCTGAATCATATATAAGCAGCGAAGTTTTTTTTTTTTTTTAATTTGTGATGCCTATCTGTTCTAACGCGTCATTGTTACAGGGGCGTCTGACCGACAGTATTTTGAGAACGATTTCTTCATGTTTTCTGAATGTGGACTGCTGTGTGCAGGAATTGGCAATAATGAGAACATTTGCTGCCGTGACTTCTTCCGTTTTTCTTGAATTCCTTCGGAACGCCGCGCCTACACATATCCATATCAGCAATATCAGCGGAATGATGGGTTGTCCTTTTAGCCCAGAGGTTCTTGAATTTATTGTAACGAGACAACGGTTCGAACTCATTCGTATTAATCATAAGAAACTTGGACCCTTCCCCATAGACGATGACATTCTCGCCAAGCTCACTGCTTCCGAATTCATCATCGATGCTGAAACCAGGATAACTGTCGACGGTATCAAATCTTTCCTTGGGGTCAGTTTTTCACATTTCCTGCATAAACTATGATTGTGAATCTCTACACTTTGAATTTCAGGGTTTGGCAAGAGGGAAACATGAGCTGGTTCACGGGCAAATAACAACTCGTGTTTCCTGCAGATCATTACTACCTTCCATGCTTCCAAACTTTAGGGTGTTCACTAACGGTTATGCGTTAACACTATCGCGTGTAAAGCCAATATAACCGTAGCATCAGGGAGAATAGCAAAGCCCAAGACTTTGTGATCACAGCAAAATCGTCTAAAACTCTGTTCCATAGAAGCTTTCAATGATAATTGACTTCTGTTTTGAGTATGATTTGGTATGATTTGAACTAGTTCTAGAACATTGGAAGGTTCTCTTCGAAGGTTCCTTGCAGATTGCACAGTTGTATGGGGGACGGAACATTCGCCCGTGTGGGGATGCAAGCTGCGAATAAGCATACATTTCGTTACATCGATCAACTCGATGTGCTTATGGATAGTTTGAACTCAGGCCCTCGTCGCTGTGCTGTGTACATGCTTGATGTCTTGATGATAAACGCCAAAGTCGTCCAAATCACCCACTAATATCGAGGCGCAATTTGCCTCGTGCATATCCAAACAGGCGAATGTGAACATCCTCAATCGTATGATCCTAATCACTCATATGGAGATGTTAATCGGTTTTTTGGCTCTGTGTAAGAAAAGGACTACACTTTGTTCTAGAATGTCGCTAGGCTACTCGCTTCCTTATTAAGGTTTCGTTCACTTCTTTCTTAAACGATATATGAAGCATCCAGTTTTCATCGAGTTTTGAAATAATGAAGAATTCACGAAATCATGTGAGGAACAGCGTAACATGATGTTATTTCAGAATTTCTAATTCTACTAAAAATGCTGGTATGGAGGGCAAAGGTGACGTAATAGCAAGTAATGCACCTACACAAACACATGGTCCCGGGATACCCTCCCGTTTCATATGTTTGTGATAGTAGGTAGAGGGGAAATGAACGGTGACATATAATAGTCAAAAGGCAACGAACTACGTAAGGTCTCTAAAAAAATTACAAAAAAAATTTTGAATTGCTACGGCGTTAAGTCTAGAGGAGGTCGTGGCTGCTTACGAAATACCTAACTGAAGGGTTTTTTCCTATAGAAGATCGGAATTTCAGACGTACCCATTCTCCTCATCTAACCTTTTGCCTTGCCTAGAATCCTACAATCTCCAATTATCGAATGTTTGACAAAACCATAACCCACCACCCACCACATATAATAATCACTTACGAGTGGTACATGATACGACTGTTAAACAGGGGATGTAGAAGATCAGACATTTGGAAGGAAACAGAAAACTTTAACTCTGCTACAACCCAATATTTTCCCTAAGACAGCGTAGCCTAGGGCTTTGCTACTCCAAGCTCTTCTGAAAGCTGTCTAACAAAGCTGTTCAACTCACTTTGACTTTGGTTCAAAAAAAAATCGAGGAGATGTAATGCCTGCACTTGTTTCTTGGGTGTTGCCTTGATTTTTACAACCCTAAAGGATTTTGTCGAAGTCTCCATTTTCACTTCCTTCTCAGAAATGTTTCTGGCGAGTTAATTTGATAGAAAAGTGTGGGGTGTTAGCTGGTCGACGATCAGACACAGATTCGCCATCGCTCGGCACATCCCGTGGCCCTCGGCTTCCAGTAACTGTTTGCCAGAGCATTTCGGCTTATACCTACATCAACGCTCTTCTCAGTGTTTTAGACTGATCTATGGCTTTCCACAAAATCAGAGCTACTATATGCAGGTAATTCACAGCAGGTAATAGAGAGGATTCACCGGAAAGTGCGATGCTGGCAAAAAGGCTAATAAGTCATGTACATATGAAGAAAACAGTACAGTGTACGAGAAGACACACTGCCTCGTAATGCAGTAAGTTAAAATAGAGTTGAAGTTGTGAGATGAATCCAAAGATGGGGACGCATGCCAGGAAAAGAGCGTAAAAGTTCGAAGCTTCGTAGTTAATTACTCTCTTTTGGGATGCACCCCGCATTCGACTTCCATTCTAAATTGTAGCGGCGGTTTAGATGCGTATGTGGTCTTTCAGTAAACTGCAGTAGCTAGCTTAAGTATTAGTCAGTTCTTCCGTCCTCTTGGACAAGTCTGGTACCAACTGAGCGATCCGACCAAGGAGTGGTGGGAGGCTTGTTTGGGCTAGTATCGGTTTGAGTGTAAACCGTGCCGCTGAACTGTCCCGTTTTGCAATTGAGCGGTCGACCCCTGTTTATCTACATTCAAAACTGCATGAAGATTATCCATTTCAGCATTCATTGTAAGCGATTTTCGCGTCGAACCAGAAAGTCTATGGGCAAAGGTGGTGAGGTGGTAAGGGGCGCACAGTCACACACGTGTGGTCAGGTTCGGAACCTTGATCGATGTCCGCCTTGGTCGACCAAGCCTTCCATCCATTCGGGGTAGGCTAACTGGTTCTGTACTCATCGAGGTGGATGAAATTAGTAAATGGTACTTCGGCTGGCCCCAGAAACCATTATGTAGGCCGCATACGCATTCAATACACCACTACGATTCTGAACAGAATTCGAATGCGGGGCGCATCTTTCAATCGGATTTGGTGGGCAACAAAAGACTTTTAATTTCGACCTTTCATCAGAAAGCTTTCTGTTTAGTCCATGTCCATGTCGTCTCAACTATTGGGCGATATACCGTGTTTGCCTGAAGGACGCTGACGATTTTAAAAACTGATTTTATTTTGAAGAAATGTCCTACCAGTGCGTTCTTTATTATTTCATGGAGCTCTATTTGTTTCACAGCATGGGTCATTTTTATGGTGAGGGCAGAAATGGGATAAATTAATATCTAAAGAAAGTGGCGAAAATAAAAAAAATTGATTGAGCGACTATTTAGGTGATAAAAACTTTTTCACAATGGTCATTCCATATTACAGGAGTACAACTGCTTACCCTATGAGTCAAGTGAGTCGCAAGGCATCTTCTGTGGTATCTTTACACTCTAGTTTTGAGAAGAAAATAAACTGATCCGGGTTATTGTTGGGAAGGTATCAACTTCTACAGCCCATGGTCAACCTTCTTCCAGTCTTGGCATGACATGTAGTTAAGATGATACTCTTTAAGCCTCTCAAAATTGAACAATTTATTTGGCCAAAGTTTTGGCTGCTTCGCCTTCGTCAGGGTATGAAGTAGCCCTGACGAAGGCGAAGCAGCCAAAACGTCGGTCAAATAAATTATTCAATCTTGAGAGGCTTAAAGAGTACCACCTTCACAACTTCTATAACGTCCCTCAAGAATTACAAGATAATCTATGAGAGGGTTCTCTAACGTTGCTAGTCTGATCGGAAGTGTTCAGAATCTATGTAACTGAACTTTACCCTGGAAAAACTTAGATTATCATATATGCAGCTGTCGTAAGAGATGTATTTGAAAGGATTTCCCCTTCAGCTTTTGTGGCTCTTACCACAACGTCAAGGCATCTTGGACACTCCACCGCGAAAGTGAAATTGTTTGCTGTCACTTCAACCCTATCTATGTTACAACACTTTTGTTTCATTGGATCGAGCTCTGAAAACTTTGGTACAGCCGGTCTATCACCGCTCTCACCTGATCGCTCATTTTTTTCCCATTCCTCCAAATCGGATACTAAATACAAGGTAATCCATTTTCACAATCTGGTTAAAGTTAGATTTTCAGGTGCAAGTCATCCGCAAATGTACGAAGAAGAAAATGGCTAAGCAAGGGAGGGTGGGGAAAATTCGGGTAAAGGACGGGAACGTTCAGTAGCCACGCTGAGAAGCAGAGACCCAGCATAGCAGAGAGTACCTCGCTACGTCTGTGATAATAGACATTGGTAGTTCTACCTCAATACAAAAGAGTAAAAGTTTTTTTGTCGCTCACTTCTCCTGTGTACGAAGTTGAGTGAGAGGACAACCCGCAGCACGTAAAACGGCGGCCCTGCTTGGGAAGGCTGAGGCAGAAAAGGCTTTTCTCTGAAGCTCGCGTGCCACTGGAGTTATAACCCTCAGTGACAGGGATTTCAATTCATTCACACATTCGCTGCTTTGAATGGCCATCATTCCTTACCAGGACAATTCATTATGGACCCTGTGGTTTCATCTGCACTCACTTCTGGCTCGTTATTCGTTACATTTTGTCATTTCATTGACCGAACAACAATCGCATTGCTTGGAAAAGGAGAATTCCCTCGATTACGAGTTTGGTAGGATTACTGTCCTCATTTCGAAACTAGGTCGGTCAATCGTGCAAGGACCCTTCATCTAGCACGAGAAGAAGAGGGGTCCTGAATTGATTGGCCCGTCGTATTTCGACATTCGACGAGGGTAAGAAGCTCAATTGCTCCGTACGGTTAGTCTGCTGGCCTCTCTCTTGGTTTCGGACGTTAATTTGATCGGAACATTGCTTACACAACGGTTCTACCATCTGGGCACCTACAAAACCTCACCCTATTGTGAAGACCAGGTATGCAGCTGAATGTCATTATGTTTCCGACAAGAAAAAATGAGGAACATCTCTAGGCAGATATTGACCCAAATCGTAAGCAATCTCTCACAGTTCCAAAGGTTGAAGTGGTGAGATTCGAGTGGAGCACGAAGTATGGAAGGCGGGTGAGCTGATTTCATTTTATCCATCGTTTGGCAGTCACACAAACAGAGCTGCCATTGTTATTCTCAGGTTTTCTTCATAATTTTTTGGTACAGGTATATAAGTACCTCGGCTTTCTCACCTAAAGGATAGAGGAAGATTCTTCTGTTTAGGAGTGATTACTATTTCATCTATAAACTGATTTCTTCCTTCAGGAAGTTGGTAAGGTGTCCTCTCTGTAATGCGAGCAGTCCGTCCAAACATCACTTAGCTCAGCACATTTGCAGGCATCTGTCATATCGGTGAGTTGTGGAGTTTGAAACGTAGCTGAAGAGAGTTTTCAATGTTCGATGCTCAATGGAAAGACGCGGTTTGTGACAAAAGTGGTTTCTGAGAGTTCTTGTTGCGATGAACTTGTGCCTCCCAGGGTACGAAGGACGCGGTAGAGTCAGAAAACGGCCTAGATAGGGAGTAATAAGGGCTCCATAACAGGCTTAGACGCCTACGCACATTAGACGCCTGCGCACACTAAAAGACGGACGATTTTCCACGGCGTTGCATAGGGCGCTGCAGGGTTTGCACCATTCTCATCGGGACGCACATGTGGCACGGGCAGCTTACTGTAGCCAGCTGTACACAAGGCACAAGAAGCTGCCCTTGTGTGCACTGTGTACAGCAGGCTACAGTAAGCTGCCCGTGCAACATGTGCTTTGGACTCGTCAAACCCCTGATTCTACTACTTTTTTTGAAGTTTTATTTTCTTCAAAACACGTCGGTTTTCGCATTTTCCGTTACTTATACGATCTGATTATTATTATTATTATTATTATTATTATTATTATTATTATTATTATTATTATTATTATTATTATTATTATTATTATTATTATTTCATCACTTCCATTCATCGTCTAAATCTAAATACGTCCAAATTATCTTGAGCTGGGCTTACAAGCTGAATCGAAGCCCTCTGCGAGCTGGCAACTATCTGGTTCCGTTGTTCCTAGATAATTGCCTACTATGTCCACTATTTCCAGTAAGTATGGATGCAAAACTTGTGCGGAACTCTTTTATACTGAAGAAGAGAGAGATGCTCATTGCACCGGGAGAGGCCATATTCACACATTCAAGGTTTGATGATTCGGTACTATTCTACTATTACACCCCCAGAACTATTCTACTGTTACACCCCCAAAAACTCAAAATTTTAATTTTCGATGAAA